CCTGTCCAGGTGTCCCTGATGGAGACTGGAGACCTGTCCAGGTGTCCCTGATGGAGACTGGAGACCTGTCCAGGTGTCTCTGGTGAACTGGAGACCTGGCCAGATGTCCCCTGCCTTCACCCAAAGGCAGCGAGGACAGGTTCCAGCCCCACCCTGACCCTGATTAGGAACAAGGAGGACAGGAGGAGGATTTTTCTTTATAGCAGGAAACAGGCATTTAATTATAAAACATGATTTATTTTATGTTAATCTGAATCAGTTCATGTTGTTTGTAAATATATTTGACAGTTTTGTAGGAATGAACACGTTTGTAATGTTTGTTCAAAATAAACCTGCTTCTTATGACTTCTGTAACATGATTTGAATAAAATATCATCAGTAAAAACCTCAAATCATGTCCTTTCTAATAATCATTAGAACTCTAGAAGAACTTTAACTCATCCGAGTTTCTCCCAGGATTATTTTTAACTGGTGGTGACCTCTCATGTGGGGGTTTGACAAAATCTGGTTGTCCAAAAAATATCTCAATAAAAATATAATTTAATAAGTAGGCTATATTGTTCTGTATACAAAGTGTAATATACACAAATGTTCTCAGTCAGCAGGTTGACAGTTTTAGGAGCTACTTGAGGAGAACTTCCTCGTTCTCCTCCTCTTTGAAATAGAGATCAAAAACCAACATCCAGCATCCATAAGCTTTCTGTTTACTGGTCAAACATTTTTATTTAAATAGGAGTAAAATGTGTACTTATTAAAAGTTACAGTTTAGTGTTCTTAGGACTGAAGACTTTATAAAAGAAGTTTTTAAACATCTTTTCTATCATTTTAGTGTTTTCAACTGAGGAGCTTTGATATATTTATTTAAAATATATTATAGCAGAGGATGTTCTCTGCACAGAAAATTTTTTTTTTTTACTGTTTACTACCTGCCTGTATAGTGGTAGGGGAAACACTGTAGATTTTTATGGGTGACTTTAGTGTCCCTTAAAAAAGGAGATTTTAAGGTCTAAATTTTTTTTACCTATACAAATTTATTCCACTCAATTAATGTGTGATTTATTTATTTTCTATTATAAGTTTTATATTGTGATATATATCGTTACCGCCACTCATCATAATGTATATCGTGATATGAATTTTTGCCATATCGCACATTCCTACTCCAGATTCTTGACCGTTTTGTGTTGGCCATTAGCTTCACCAGCCGATCACACGGTCACGTGGTTTCTGAGCACTCCAGCTGTTCTATAGAACCTCCTTGACTACTATAGATATCAAGCTAGGCTCAAAAACTGTAGATTTTTCTTTGTGTTAAGAGCTATGACTTAGTACTTCCATTAGGTGCCTTTAACTGCTTGAATGAACTCTGTCTCCTGACTGTCTTTACTTCAGATCCATGCCCTGATCACTGGACCATTTGACACACCATATGAGGGCGGCTTTTTTCTTTTTCTTTTCCGCTGCCCCCCAGACTATCCAATCCATCCGCCAAGGGTGAAGCTCATCACCACYGGACACAACACTGTTCGCTTCAACCCCAACTTCTACCGCAATGGCAAAGTGTGCCTTAGCATCCTGGGGTGAGTCCTTTGTGTACTTTATATTTTCTGTGTCCGTGGGCTTTCGTAAACACTGACCTGTATATGTAATTAATTTCTGCCATAAAGCCCATTACACTGTTTTCTGAGGAAGCAGCGAGGTATTTATTTCTGTGTGTTTTTGTGTAGGACCTGGACTGGACCAGCATGGAGTCCTGCCCAAAGCATCTCATCTGTCCTTATATCCATTCAGTCTCTGATGACCGAGAACCCTTATCATAATGAACCAGGCTTTGAACAGGTAATATATACTTTTTCAATTAAAGCAAACCCAGTGGTGTAGTTGTGTTTTTCACCCATCTGGTTCTGTACTAAACTGGAACCAGTGCTTGCTTGTCGCTAGTTTTTTCCATTTTAACTAACTGCTCCAGCACTGAAAAGCACTGGCTGTCTCAGCACCAAGTCTTTGTTAAACCAGAGTGAAGAACTGCTTTTGTCAGGGGCTGGGAGTGGGCTTACGTAGACCAACAAAAAAATAAAATAAAAAGGCTGTCAACACTGTTGAAAAACTTCAAGATAATATAGCTTTAAATGTCTGTTTAGGATAAGGCAATGAAAGAACAGCTTTAATCATTATAACAGATCAAATTAACGGTGGATTAACATGAGTTCATTGAATCTTATCAAAATGAACGATTGTCATTTATTTTCAACTGATTTGATAAATATTTGCAGCGTATCTAAATTCTGTTGAAAGCATTGTGTGTAGCTGTGTCCAAAACGACAGGCCGGGTCCTCCGGAGGACCCAGACTACCCGGTCAAGGTGGGCCGGGTCCTTGGTAGACCGGGAAGACTGGAAAAAAAGAGGCTGTGAATGTGGGCGGTCTAGCCTCCCCTCCTTACCCCGGCGTATGTCATGTCACATACTGTAGCAACCATGACAACGCTAAACAGAAGCAAAAACAGATCAAAATTAGAAAAATATCAATATACTGTATTGGCGTCATTAATATCACAAAACAATAAAATTTACTTAAAAGGTATCATTTGAAGAACTAATAGACCCGCTGTAGGTGCATATTTATTTCGCGTTTTTTTAATGACAAAAATAATATTTAAAAACACGTCTGTACAAATGATAAAAGTATTAGAATTACAACCGCTAAAAAATTAAATTTTTATATCGCCATATTTTTATTTAAAACGTATTCTTTACTCTCGCTTCGTCCACCATTACTAGCTTAAAAAAATCTCCGGTCGGGCCGCAATGCATTATGGGATATGCTGGGCCGGGAAGGATCCATCAGACCAGTCCTTCAAATCGGGGAAAACGAAGGACATATTTGTCGGCCGCATAGGAGGAGTCTTCGGTTTGGGATGGCCTTCGTCGCGGCGCTGTGATGAATGCGGCCGACAAATTCGACCTTCGTAGGACCCGGCCTGCCGTTTTGGACACAGCCCAGGTGATAGTTTTGTGAGTGGTTTTCTGCCATTGTTCTCCTTTGTTGCATCTTTACAATGTGTTTTTTGTTGTCAGTGTACGGACCCTCCTAACACCTCTGGCCTTTTGGAAAGCGTCAAAGTGTTGGTTTGAGGATAGCGTTACGTCTCTAGAAGCATGTTTTATTTGCCCAGCTTTAGTTGGTTTTATGATGTTGTTGAAGACACTAGTAAACTGTTGTGTTGTCAGGTATTCCTTTTAAGAAACATGATTACTTGCCCAAACAATAATTATTCCAACGTGTTTCTGCCTTCATACCACGACATCTGGGATTACACAAGAACTGAAAACCATGCTAAAAAAAAAACACTGTTGAATTATGATCAGATGGTCACAATTTGGAAAATAACTATTGTTGAACCTAAACTTCAGTGTTTAAAGAGCATAAGAAACTGAGTTTAGACCAATTGCAGGTCAAAGGCAAACTGAACATGGCAATGTGGTTAGAATGGATGGATATCATATCCCACTCAGAAATTGGTGGTAACGGCCAGCAGAGTTGAACCAGCAACGTACTGAAAACAGGCTCACCTTCTCTAGCCTCTGCTCCACCACTCCATCCACAACACCTGGCAAGATGAAATTGTCACAAAAATTATTGCTAAGTCGAAACCTTTATCACAAAACCAGAAAGAAAACCCTCTCACAAAACTTGCAGTTGTCAGCATTACATCTCCTGATTAAACTAGATACCGCATAGCGGTAACATAATGACCCCCGCACGCATAAATCAGGGTATCCGCGAGGTTTTAAAAAGTATTAAAAGGTAGTAAATCAAATAAGCAAAAATTAAAGTCATATTAAAAGCCATCTGACGAGATATTAATTTTTAAACCAGATAGACAACGCACCAATAATTGAATGTTTGAATGTGAAAAGAGTTAAACAACCACCAGCGCTGGACTGAAAAGCAGGCTTATTAGCTCAGTAGCTCCTGCATTCAGCTACAAAACCAGGAAGTTGTGTTACTTATGGCTCGTTCACACCGAGAGCGTTTTGAGCGGCAGGAGCTGCCAGTTTACATGCAAAGTCTATGGCGAACGCGCCTCAAGGGGTTGTGCGTCGCGTCACGCGCGTTATGAGCGGCGCGCAAGGAAGGCGGAAGGGGCGCAGAGCGTTTTCCGTGTATGCGGTGCTGCAGAAG